TAGACCACCCAATGTAAAAAGGTCAGTTTTCTTAGTTTGCCATTTTGTCCTTAACTTCTATTGCTTCAACCTGGGCTTATAGACCTCAGAGTGGGTTCAAAGGAAAGTTGTTCATTCCACAATAGGCAAAGTGACTTAGTAAAACTGTGGGGATGCTGAGCTGAAAAGACACAGTGTCTGTCCTCAGAAGGCTTGACATCTAGTGAGAAATCAACACACAGCCCCGGGATTACGATGCACAAAGGCCGATGCCCTGTAGAGGCAGGGATGGAGTTGGATAGGAAGACAGAAACAAGTGAGGAGGGCAGTAGCTTATGATGCTTGAAGTAGAGTGGAGATGGCCTCCCTGGGCAGACAGAATGGCGTCCAGACCATGAGGGCCTGGAGCGATGTCTCTGTTACTGAATGCAGGAGTAGAGTGCCAGGGGAGACGCTGCACAGCAAGTCACAGTGGGATTCTGTAGCCTTTGTTTGCTCTGCCAAGGAGCTTAGATTATTCTACTGTGGACATCAGGGAGTCCCTAAAGCATTTAGAACAAGGAGATGACATGCCTGACTTTGCATGTTCTAAAGATGATTCAGCCATGCCATGCTTTTCTCTCATTGCTATGACAAGACTTAGAGGTTTGAGGGGAAAGCAAAAAATTTTATCTCACCCTGATCAGGGGAAGTCTGAAAATAACTCTGAAAAGCAAAAGAAGAAACAACCTCCTGCCTTAATCTTTATCTGAATCACCTCCAAAATATTCACTTTATAAGCATTTTCAGGCCTGTCATTGTTTTACTCAAAACTCTTTATTACAATTTAAAGTAGTACATGGAAGACAATTCTTTCCTTAAATTCAACAAAATATTTAGTTCCACTGAAGTGGTTGACTTGTGAAATTGTTTCTGCTTTTCTTTAAAGGATGTTGTAATTTATTGGATCTTTTATTGGACTTAAGGGACCAATTTATTTACATATACTCATATGATCCTTGGGATCAGATGGTCCTTAGCCTAAAACCCTGCTCTTCTAAGTAGAGTAGGAAATTATCAGAACAATGGCGCTTTTGTCTTAGGTGTCCTGAGAGGATGAAATATAATAAGGCATTTATAGTGATTTGCACCATGTGGCACATAGTAGGTGAACCAAAAATGTGAGCTCCTGCCTCGACTTGTGGCAGACCTACAGCAGAGTGAGTTCTGTTTGATGAGGGCATGGCTAAGCTGGATGGCACAGATTCTGTGAGTCCACTTTACCATCACAGCCTACTAGGAAACACACCTTGTTCATCAGCCAGCACTGGAGGTCCAGGTAAATTAAGCGAGGACTTCACAACACTTGTCAAGCAAAAAGAAAGCTGTCCAAAGTCAAAATGAAGTTCTTAAGGGAAAGAAAGGAAGGGAACAGCCAAACAGCTTATTATGTAATTAAAACTGGAGTCAAACATCATTAAATGGGGCAAAATTCCAGTTGAAAATGTTTAAAAAGTATTAATTTTTAAAGATATATAGTTTTACTTCTTTGAGGTAGATATAATAACTTAAGCTATGTTAATAAGGGCCTTCCTAGCAGGGAAAATGAAAATGCCTGGCTTAATAAAACAAAATAGCAAATTTAGTATTAGAAGTTAGAATGTTAATAATTCATATGGAGAGATTGGAAATAGCTTGTTTTCTTAACTGGTTTTTAAAAACCTCTGAAGTATTATTTATATTGTTAATTTATTCAGCTAACTTTTCCTCCCTGGACTGTGGGACCATAAGCTTCAGTGCAGCTGCTGTTCAAATGTTCCTTAATTCCCAAGGGTAGTCTGCACTAATGACGCTGTACGATATTTAGGGGTAAAAGACTTGGGCCATATCGTTGGTGAGCTATTCACGGACATAGAAGATAAAATAGATTCTTAATCAGCTGAGACTTGGAAAATACATAAAAAAAAAAAAAAAAAACTCTTTCTTTTCCTCTTGAAATATGTAGTGTTACAAAGCACGTGTGCTTACATAGCCTAGGTACCTAGGCTAAGAATGTTTTTTTAAACAAAAAAAAAAAAAAAAAAAAAAGATTATAGACAGGAAAAATATTTAATGAAAAGCGTATCCACAAATAAAAGGAGAATAATATTTCAATATCCAAAGGCTTACTGTAGTCGGCTAGGAGACACAGGATGTGACGTTTGAGTAATTAATGGAAAGTCGTTGTAGGAGCAGTGATGATCACACTTTCCAGAAAAGCAAAAGGAAGGGCCACGTTCCCTGTCCCAATCCGACTGGCTCCATCCTGAGCATTCAGACGACTTTGCTGAGGCCTTTAACTGCATCCCAGTGACACGACTCACACAACGGTCACAGTCACCAACGCAACTCTGGCGCCAGCAAGCTTTAGTTTGTTAGGAAAAAAATACTACTTTCCATGTATGTTTAAATAGTACAGACACATAATATTAAAAAAACAGAAGCCCTGAGTATGTAATTTGATGCTAAGCCTTTGCAAAATAGGCAGAGATCCAAATATTTTTCTCTGCTAAAAGAGTTGAAAATATGTTTCCAGGGGTGACTTGGCTGGAGAGGATACCACTTGGGATTGGTAAGCTGAAAAGTCTGATCTGGGGATGATCCATACTTCTGAGACAACCACGAGAGCGCCTAGGGTTGACTGAGATCCAAATGGAAGGTAGTCTCTACAGTTGAACTTTCCAGGCTAGCCAAGTGGGAACATGTGTGTGGTAGCGGGTGGAGGGGAGGTGGGGGAACAGATCTTATTTTTGAAGCTTTAGACTCAGATTATGGAATCAAGTGAAATGGTGCAAGACCTACACAAGGTTAGTTAGTTATAAATTCGGATTCTAGAATTCTTTGTGGGGAGTTACTCTCTAGGTTACTAGAGATAATACATTGCTTGAAAGCTATTATCTTGATGGTGGTCTGGTGACAGGGAGATGCCTATAGCTTGCCAGCTAGGAAAATGGCTATCCCTGGACACCCATGAGGTCCTGGGCCCTTTAGGTCAGATCAACTATATCCTAGTGGGCTCCAAAGGCAAATCTTTCAACTCAGCAGAGGTTTTATGTAATCTTCCAGGTTTTTCCCCACTGCTCCCAACATGCATGTACTTGCTTTCATTTCCTGGCTTCAGATATCTGGGTTCCTATGGTAGCTGCTGTATCTGACTTGGTTCTCCTTCAGATTTGGCAGTGCCCCTCCTGGTGGACTAGAGCTGAACACTTCCAACCATTGTAGACCCCAGCCTGTGAAACAATTCCCATAGTCAAGCCTGCTACCACCTCTCTCCCAAATGAGTTCTGGACTCCTTCTCAGAGATAAATGGCTTCCCTTAAGATTTACGCAAAAAGAGATAAACATGACTAATACCTGGTCCTTACTTTCGAGGAACTTACAGTCAATTGCGTCAGATAAAGTACAAGAAAATTGAGCTAATGTTATGGTAAGTCTTATGCTGCAAGTGTCAAATGGATAGCAGGTGCTCTGTGGTTAGGAGGAGGGAGGGGACACTTCTCTTTGGAGAGAACAGATATAAAGTGTCTACAAGAAGGATTTTTAGGGATCTACAAATAGTTTTTTAAAATTACTTATCTATTGCTATTGTAACAAATTATTGCAATCTTAGTAGCTTAGCACAATACAAAATGTATTACCTTCCAGTTCTGTAGGTCAGAGTCTGACATGGTCTTACCTGACTAGAATCAAGGCATTGGCAAGACTTCATTCCTTCTGGAGGCTTTGGGGGCAATCTGCTTCCAGGATTATTTGGATTGTTGGCAGAATTCAGTTCCATGTGGTTGTAGAACTGGGATTCCCATTTCCTTTTCGGCTGTCAGCTGGGGTCAGCTTTAGCTCTCAAAGACCTCTCTCCAAATCTTGCACATGATCCAATCCCTACAGTTCAGGATCAGAAGTGGTGCAGATCTTCTCATGCTGCACATCTCTTCTGACTCATCTGTCTACCTTCCATTTCCACTCTAAGCACCCTGTGATTACCCAGAACTCACCCTGTTTATCCAGGATAATCTCCCTATTTGAGGGTCAATTATCAACCTTAATTATATAACATAATCACAGGCATAAAACAAGGGGTGAAAGTCATGGGGGCCAAAATCCTGCCTAGCACCATGTTTTTGCGGTATCATAAGCTGGTGGGAGAATGGAATTCAGAGGAGTGAAGGGCAGAATCCAAATCACATTTTCATTAAGCACCTAGCAGGTGCTAAGTACGACTCAAGCTTGGAAGGACAAGTTAAGTCAGGACCCATTGCTTCCTCAACACCTCAGCCTCAAGGGGAAGACGGGCTTATTTTTAAATAAATTGCAATAAAATCGGCTACATGCAACATCAATAACCAACATTCAGAATTTTGTGGTTTTATTTTGATAGAGTACTTTTGTCTTCTGAATTTCACAAGTTGGCACACATTTATGACCAGGAAAAGAAGAAGTTCTGATCAAGGCATTGGCCAAAAACTGCAAAAAATGGGATGGAATCTAAGGTAGACCCATTCTCAATTGCCCCAGCATTCACACCGCAGCACTGACCCTGACTCCGACCTGCCATGTTGTGTTACTTTCAACTTTTTCACCCAACGTGGAATGTTCTCTCCTTTCAATTGTAGCACAAAATAATGTTTAAGTCAGAAAACCACATTGTAATAGCAACATTCCAGTTGATATTTTGAAGCTCATTAGATCCATTCTTAGTTCCTAGGCAGTATTCTCTGCTCTCCAACATTCACTCATTTTCTCCTCTGTGTCCACTTTTACCCAGTTGTATACTCAATGAGAGATCGAGGAATAGAGGACATTTAATTTATTTTAGAAAATTAGTCTCCCCATCACAACTCTAATGGAGTGTTACAGACAGTGAAGCCATTCAATAAATGTTTAGCAAATTGAAAAACAAAAATGCAAAGAAAAAGAAATAAAACAAAGTTCTTAGTTTTAGGGATTTTAAGTGAGTAGATGGGAAATAGCATTTGCTACCTGAATCTTTTTATCTTTTTCAGGCAGAGGAGCTGAGCAGCTAATTGGAGGGGACAGTATGAGCCTCCAAAGATTAGGGAAGAAAAGTGCAGTTGAAGAAAACTTCCTTTGATTCAGTGCAAAAATAATGGAATGAATGGCATACTGAAATATCATATGACATACAAAAATGGTGAAAGGTAAGACCATTGTACGCCTTCCAGAAAAGCAGGCATTTAAAGCAGACATTGAGAACACTTGGTTCTATGTTTATCCTTTGCTGATCTCCTTGCCCTACGTAACGCTGTTTGCACTCTGGTTTTGGTTACTCTGGAACGGCCAGTGATTCCCAAACTCAACAAGGGGAGAAATGATGACAAGAAGCAAAGGCTGTCTACAGCCCTCACGTTAGACAGGCAACCAGGTAGTAAGTCACCAGGAATATCCTGTCATTTATGGGAAGGTTCCCAAAGAGTCAATGGAACATGGGTTCCTTAAGTTAAAAGCCAGTGGCTCACTGGTCTCACTTTAAAGCTTCAACCTCAGGTTCTGCCATCCACATCTCAATAGCCCTTCCTGAAAATATGTTAGGCTATGTGGCAAAGGGCAATAAGGTTGCTAATCGGCTGACTTTAAAATAGGGAGATCATCCAGGAGGGCTCAATGTAATCAGAAACAGCCTGAAAAGTGGAGGGAGAGGCAGAAGAACCAAAGTCTGAGGGGACATAGTGATGGAAGCAAGGTAGAATGGATGCTGTGTGAGGACTCTGCCTGCCACTGCTGGCCTTGAAGATGGAGAAAGGGGAAGGAATGCAGGAAGTGTCAAGAAGTTGGAAAAGGCAAGGAGATGGATTCTCCCCCAGAGTCTCCAGAAAGGAATGCAACTCTGCCCATCCCTTGATTTTAGCCCAGTGAGAACTGTGTCAGAATTCCAGCCAACAGAACTGTCCAGAAACAAATTAGTGTTGTTGTAAGCCACCAAGGTTGTGATAATTTGTGCTAGCGTCATAGAAAACAAAGAGCAGCATCATTGAATCGACACCCAACGTGTGTTAACTGTGGTGAAGGACCCCGGGATGCCTATGGGTAAGAAGCCCTTATATTGAATCATTCTTTGTGCAGGACTGAGTGACAGACTCTCCAAGAAGTCATGGGAAAAAGGCCACTATAACTCTCAACTCATTGAGCTTCACATTGTTTGGGTAGAGACAAATTTCCAAGATCTAGTCCGTTGTAGAGATTAAAAGCTAATATCATCTGGGCCAAATTCAGCAGTCAGACTCTTTCACTTGCGTGGATTGTTTTTTTAGTTGAATTGGTAGCCAAGATTTAAAAATTTATCCCAAACATCAAGATTTCTGACTTTTCTTGGAAAAAAAAATAGAAAATTTTACCATACTTGCATTTTCAGGATAAAAGAGTAGCAAATGTCCCTCTAGAAAAAGAATGTTCTCTCTGATAGTCACTGTCCCCACTACTGTACTATCTCACATCCCCTCCAACTGTCCTATGTGGTCCTCTGGGCACCTGAGTTTGCAATTCCTGGTACACTGCTTATATACAGTTTCAATACTGGCTTAATTAGGGTAAGGTACTAAAGGCAATCTGGTTAGTTGCAATGTTTCATCCTGTGTGATTGCAAAGAGTGCCTTCATCAATTTCAGAAAAAAAAAAAAAAAAAAAAAAAAAAACCAAACTCAGAGATGAAATTGTTTGACCCATTGCCCCATTCCTTCCAAATTCTTAACCTACGCAGCACCAAGAAATACTGGCGTGGGTGCCTGATAGGGAATTTCCAGGCCTGCTTAATGACTCCAATTCTGATCAGCTAAATCTTTTACTCCCTTGCGAATATATCCAAATCTGACTTCAGTGGATAAGGAGAGAATTTTTAGAGGGATAGAAATCAAGCTGGAATACTTTCAATGTGGTACACAATGTGCTCAAACAAAAAGTCAGATGATCTGACAGCGTCTTCATATGTGCAGGGCTTAGAGAAATCCTTGTTCCCTTTCATTAGATTAACAGCATGTACGTTCTGACATCAGCTACAACATAAGCTGGTATTGCAAAATGTGCTTTGGAATCCTGACGCATTAATTGTTATGTTTGGCTTTATTACTGACATATCTTTTTACTCATATCTGAATGCCGATGGTTATGGGCCAACATTTTTGGAAAAATGATACCTTGCAAGCTCACACTTGAAGTGGCTCTGAACAGTGAGGGGAGGTCATAGATACGGGAATAAGAGAGGAAAGTCGGCTCACAAAAGGGTCAATGTCCTGAGCGGCTAAGCAGGAATGCACCTTTTCCGTGACAGCCTGTGCGTCTTCAGAACACAATGCAGTGAATAATCAGCCATAGACGGGCAAGGGGGAGGCCTGGCCGGGCTTTTGACACGGCCCTCTGTAGGCGTGATGGATGTAGAGAAACTCAACCCTTCCCAGGGGGTTCAGGTGGCACCATCAAAACAAAAAGTACAAACAGTTCGGTCCTAGAAAAGAACTTCCCCCCACTCTAACCCCCCTTTCTTTCTGCTATTTGTGCCAAAAAGTTACAGTATCCAGCCATTCCTGATTAAGTTGGAAATCTATGCAAGAAAAGAAAAATGAAGCCAATGTGAAAATCCACTGGGTAGAACCACATATTTAAATTGTGCAAAATTTCTACAGAAATAAATAAATAAATAAAATGGCATTGATTTCCAAGGCTGGGGGAAAAAAAATCACTTTCTGGATTAGAACGCGAGACACCATCCAAATTGGCAAAAACAAACAGAAAACAAAACAAAACAAAACAAAACAAAACAAAAAACAACCAAAAAAACCAAGTTCTCCCAAATCTTTCCTTTGGAGGCTGTGACTAAAAACAAACCAGAGGAGGATGGTTCTTCCTCTGACTGTGGGGCCAGCCTGAGAAGATGGAGAAAAGAAACAGAGTGTGTGTGCCTGCTGTCCCAACTAGAAAACCTGTGAAACATATTCTTGTTCTGCACTTTCATTGTTTTCTTCTCTTTTTACATCTCTGAGCAATGGTTCTAGTTGGATTTGGATTTATTTGAACTTTTGGAAAAATACACACCACGACTTCTACCCCTCCTTCCCCCCTAAATCTAGGCTTCTAGGAATTTTAGAAATATCTATAAATTTGCTTAATTGCCAGCCAGTTTCTCCATTTCTAGGCAACTGGCTTCCCTTAGCTGTAATGTCAGAATGTGACCTATGGCATCAGGGTCTCATTTATCTGATGACTACCAAATGTTAAGGATGCCGTCAGCCTGCTTTGCATGACTCTACAACTGGGCATAAGATACCTGGCCTTGGAGCAGGTATCTCAACAGTTTTTCAGTCCTGATCCAAGTGTGTGGAAGAGAGCCAGTTGAGAAGGGAGCTCCTGGGTAGATGTGACAGTAAACAGCACCTGCTGTGTATCAGGCAATGGGATGAGCTTTGCCTTACGCTATGCCCACAGGCATTCAAAGGGTCAATTTTGTCAGTCTTGCTTTTACCAATGAAGTTCATGGAGAAATTTAATAGCTTGACAATCTAAAGCCAGTACATGGCAAAGCTGGCATTGCAAACCAAGACTGCCTGCCTCTGAAGCTTTCCTTATCCACAGAGCCCCATTCTTACCCCCAATAGAAACTTCTAGAAAGATACTTTGGCCGGGCGCGGTGGCTCACGCCTGTAATCCCAGCACTTTGGGAGGCCGAGGCGGGCGGATCACGAGGTCAGGAGATCGAGACCATCCTGGCTAACACGGTGAAACCCCGTCTCTACTAAAAATGCAAAAAAATTAGCCGGGCGAGGTGGCGGGCGCCTGTAGTCCCGGCTACCCGGGAGGCTGAGGCAGGAGAATGGCGTGAACCCGGGAGGCGGAGCTTGCAGTGAGCCGAGATCGCGCCACTGCACTCCAGCCTGGGCGACTGAGCCAGACTCCGTCTCAAAAAAAAAAAAAAAAAAAAAAAAAAAAAAAAAAAAAAAAAAGATACTTTGATGTTTGGTCTTTTCAACTTCTTATCTCTCATCTAATCCCTCATCACAGAGAACTCCTGCAGAGAGAATTAGATATGGCAGCAAGAGCTTTACAGAAGTAATTAACACACCTCAGCTCAAAATTGATTTCCACTCTTGGACCCAGACTCTATCTCAGAGGCAGGCTGTCAGGGTAGAAAATGAGAGTCCCATATAATTTAGGCTATTTAGATCACTCTGCTGGCCCCCAGCCACCCACAGCCACCAAGGTGTTCATGTGGCTTTAAACAAATGACTTGTTTTAAATAAGTAAGAATTTGGATTGTGACAGCTTCATGGGAAAATGTCAGAAGCAGAGTTGTTTCTAAGGGACCAGTTCAATGGGCAGCAGGACAATGAATCCTATCTGAAAACACAGCATCAGGCAATATTAGGAACACAAGGATTCCTGGGCGGCCATCTACTCTCTACCTTCCTTCTCCTAGCAATCCCTTGGCTCGATTTTGGACTTTCCCGCTCATGGTGTAAGTTTTGATTCCAGACACCCATTTTGTGTGCTTACACAAAAGGGCAGGGCAATGGCATGCAAAGATCATGGGCTGTGAAATAAGAATACCTGCTTTTCAATCACTGTACCACATTAACCAACTGCGTGACCTTCGGCTAGTTACCTAACTTCTCTGGGCCCTTCTTTGTAAAATCTATTGTTCTGAGTCTGGAAGCAGTGTAAATAACATACTACCTGGCTTATAGTAGACAGCTAGGTAAAACATAATCATATTGAGACAACGTAAATAAAATACTACCTGGCTTGTAGTAGACAGTTAAGTAAAACTTTTCCTTTTCTCTTCACTCTTCTACTCATTTGCTTCTTCAGGAATGCCCTAATTCCAGGGGGTTCCCTTCTTTTTTTTGCAAGGCTTATATATTTTAAGAACTGCTTAATTTGGTGGTGGCATTGATGATTGAAATCTTGTATTTTATTCATGAGCTGTGTACTGCTGAAGGTATTGTTTAACTTCTCTGAGCCTCTATGTTCTTATCTATAAGTTCTTGATAACAATTGTAATGTAGTTCATTTCCAACCAAACAGGCATTTAATACCTTCTTCTCTGCACAAAGGACCTAGATTTTGGGTCCAGGTAGCCAGCAGAGGTGTCTCAACATGAAGGAAGACCCAGACCCAGTGGACAAATTCTGGTTGATCTAATGTAATGATACTAGCTCCATTCTTCTTTACCAATGAGTGCTCTAGGGTGAGTATAAATGATAACCACTTTTAGCCAAAGAAATAAAAATGGAAGTTTTAAGATGGAGCCCCAAGAGAAAAAAACCTTTTGTCCATTACTTTCCACTTGGTTGTTGATGGTGGATGTAATGCCTAGAGAACTGGCAGCCATCTTGACCCTATGAGGTGACAGCACAAGGATGAATACAAATATGCTAATAATGATGGAAGCGATGGTGGGAAAAAGCCAATATTGTAATATAATATAATATTGTAAAATTAATTATCTTGAAGATGTTGTAATTCAGACATAAAGAAATAGTAAAAACCAAATAGTTCTCATTACTAAAGACTGAATGATTTTTCTTAAGGCTTTCCAAGTGATTCCATTCTCTCCTGTTGGCTGTGAGCCTATTTGACTTATCTTTTTGGCCTGAGCTGAATGTCAAATCTGTCAGTGTCACTGATTGGATAAACAACTTGCAGGGAAAGGAGGTTGTAACTGAGTCATTTGTTGATTATTTGAGGATTATAAGTTGTCTAGAAAGTAGAAAAAAGACTGAAAACACTAGCTATGAGCAAAAGGAGTTCACTCGGTCCTCAACTAGGTGCTGGGAAAACAAGGTCAAATAAGTTAGTGCCCTGTCATTACAGGGCTTAGCGACAACTCAGTAGAGAAAGGTATGCCACAACTCAGAAGAGAAAGATATGTGAACAAGTCCAATCGTCCCTCAGTATCCACTGGGGACTGATGTCAGGACCTCCTGTGGGTACTAAAATCTGTGGATTCTCAAGTCCTTTATATTAAATGGCACAGTATTTGCATATAACTTATGCACATCCTCCCTTATACTCTAAGTCATCTAACACAATGTAAATGCTATGTAAATAGTTGTTATACTGTATTGTTTAAGGGACAATAACAAGAAAAAGTCTGTACATTTTTAACACAGATGAAATTTTTTTCCAAATATTTTTTATTCGAGGTTTATTGAATCTACATATGTGGAACCCATGAATGGGAGTGGGGGGAGGGGGCAACTGTATACACAAAAAGCTATTGTAATTGCCAAAATAGTGATAACAATGACGAAACACTACTGGGATTACTACTGTTAATGACTACCAGTGATCAAGCACCTCCCCTGCCCCAGGTACTGTCCTAAGTACTTGGTAAATACCATCTCTTTTGATATTTATAACAATTCTTTGTGGTCAGTCTAATTGTCATGCCTGCATTAGAGGTGAGCCTCTGAAACACAAATGCACACAGCTAGTTAATGGAGTAGCTAGAATTCACATCTAGGTCTTTCTAATTGCAAAGCTCATAATCCTGACAACCAAGCCATGGTAGAGATTTCAACAGGGTAAAGTGGAGCTTGAAAAGGAGGAAGGAGTTAATTTTGCTGGGAGTACTAGGGCAGGGAGTGGAAGTTAGGTGTGGGGGAAGTAGGAGGAAGAGTAAGGAAGGTCTTTAAAGGAGGTGACCCTCCGTGGAAGCTCAACTTCCTGGAGAAAAACTTCTCAGAAGAAAATGTACGATGTGCAGTTCTTTAGCATATTACCTAATATGAAGATGTGGGGAGGCTAGAGGCAGAATGGTATCTGAATTGGCCCAGTGGCCCCTCTCCCTGCCCCTGCCAGGAAAACTGCAAGTTGCAATGCAACTGGGACATCAGGGACCTGGGAAAATTAGTAGAGCTGTTTATTTTGCCAAAGTACATACTTGAAATCTCATGCATAAAAAGTTTTCTATGAATACAAAATATTGTGATTGTCTACATTAGACCAAGGAAACACTATATTCAAAGAGAAGAAGTTTGAACATATTTATTTAGCATATGAAAGTGGGTGTTCGTGCCAAAAATAATTCAGTATGGTAGAAACCTACTTAGGCAGTGTCTAAACTAACACAGCAGAACATGTGATGTGAAGATTTGGTGGCTGAAATTCATGCCAACCAGATCCCCCACAACCTGATTTGGTCTGTAAGACCCTCCTCATCCAGCCTCTGCCTTGTTCTGTGGCCTTAGGCTCAGTAGTCTAACTTTTAGCACTCCACTTGCGCTATCGGGTTTTGCTATACAGTTCTGACAACTAAGTATTTTAACCAAGCTAAGGCCTGGACAACATTGAAATATAAGAGGTAAAATAAGATTTTGCTGACTTTTGAATTATTCAAATATTAAATATTAATATTATCAATCTTTAATTACTTGAATCATATTACTTTGTGAAGATTCTGTTTCTAGTAAATAAGGCCTTGAATTTAATACTTCTTTGAACTTTTTGAAAGTGTATACCAATTTTTTTGAAATGTATACTTGTTTTTTAAAAACAGTATTTGCCTGCCTTGTTTGAAGACATGAAAAATGTACACAAAATGATTTAGAACTGTTGGGCTTTTCAGAAAATAATTTAAAATCATCTACCTCATAACTAAAAGTATGTTTTTTTTTAAATTACAAATCAATTTCAGCAAGTTTTAAAGCTGATAATATCTCATGCTGTTTTGGGTATACCAAGTACAGTAATTAGTACTGTACTTAATTAAAATGATAAGTAATTCTTATCTTAATGAGGGCAAACTGAAGTGACCTTTTTTCAGTGGCAAGAAAACTCCCAACTCTCAGCATAGCTACATTAATCTTCTTTTTGTTCCACAAATTAGCCAAGCTAATTTCATTCCTCAAGTCTCTGCACTTACTCTTTTTTCTTTTTCCTATATTCTTCCCAGAAATACTTGCTTGGTTGGGTACTTTACGTCTTTTATATTTCATTAAGGTCAAATGTCAAATGTTCCTATTTCAGAAAAAGTGTCCCTCACTACCCCCCACCAACTCACCCAGTTATGCAGACCAAAAGCCTGGAAAGTATTTACCAATTTTCCCAGTCCCCCCATATCCCATGTATCAGTCTGTCCTATTGATTCTATGTCTAAGTTCCATCTGGAATTTGACCGTGTCCTGTCATTTCTATTGCTAAAACTCTAGTCTAAGACACCATGCTGTTTCATCTGTATTAGCACAACAACCTTTTCTCATCGCAACTTAGCTTGTCATACCTAATACAGAAACTGGTACCTTGAAAGGGGATGTTGCTAGGATACAAACTTAATACGTTTACTTTTTTGAGGAACGCCAAACTGTTCCAAAGTGCCTGAACCATTCTGCATTCCAACCAGCAATATATGAGGATTTTAGTTTCTCCACATCTTCATCAACACTTGTTATTTTCCTTTTTCGTTAATAGCTATCCTAGAGAGTGTGAAGGGGTACCTCATTGTGGTTTTGATTTGTATTTCCTTAATGACTACTGATGTTGAGCACCTTTTCAAGTGCTTGTTGGCTGCTTGTATAGCTTATTTGAAGAAGTGTCTCTTCAAGTCATTTGCCATTTTAAAAACTGGTTTTTTGTTTTGTTTCGTTTTTGCTGTTGAGTTGTAAGAGTTCTGTATATATTTTGGATACTAGACCCTTATCAGATCATAAATTTGCAGATATTTTCTCCCATTCTGTAGGTTGTCTTTTCACTTTCTTGACAATGTCCTTTGATGAACAGAAGTTTTTGTTTTTTATTAAGTCCCTTTATTCATCTTCTTCTTTTTTTGCTTGCGCTTTTGGTGTCATATCTAAGAATCATTGTTAAATCCAAGATCCCTATGTTTTATTCTAAGAATGTGAAAATGGAGACTCATAGCAGCACTATTAACAAAACTCAAAGGGTAAAAACAGCCCAATTGTCCATCAATGAATGGATGAATAAATAAAATGTGGTTATGCATACGATGGAATATTATTCAATCATAAAAATAATGTTGTACTGATGTGTGCTACAATATGACAAACCTTGATAACATTCTGCTAAGTAAAGAAAGCCAGACACAAAAGTATGGCATAATTCCATTTACATGAAATGTCCAGAACAAGTAAATCCACAGAAATAGAATTCAGATTGATGATTACCAAGGGCTGGGATAAAGGAGAATAGGACAATTGCTTAATGGTGTAGGGTTTCCTTTTGGGGTGATGAAATGTTTTAGAATTAGATAGAAGTGGTGGTTGCACAATATTGTGAATGTACTAAATGCCACTGAATTGGTCACTGTAAGATGGTTAATTTTACATTATGTAAGTTTCACTTGAAAAAAACAAATTGTAAAGAACAAAGTAGAATCACTTCATTTCCTCTCTGAAAGGTAATACATTTACTATAATTTTATTTCTGCTCTTTCTACATTTCTTTCCAGTTTTTTATATATTAGAATTTTAGATACACATTAATTTTTATAGTATATGTCTTCTATTTTAAGACTTATTGTTGATATTTGCATTATGCTTAATATTCACATTAAAAATAATTATTTAGACTTATTTGTAGTTTTCTGATTTCATTGTTCTTCTTTGATGAAAATACTATGCCTTCCTCATTCTTGAATATGTTATAGTATTTCTTTGAACAATTTTTTTCGTTTTTCTGTTTTGTTTTGTTTCTTTGAGACAGAGTCTCACTCTGACACCCAGACTGGAGTACAATGGCATGATCTTGGCTCACTGAAACTTCTGCCTCTCAGGTTCAACTGATTCTCCTGCCTCAGTCTCCCAAGTAGCTAGGATTATAGGCACGTACCACCATACCTGGCAAATTTTTGTATTTTTAGTAGACAAGGTTTCACCATGTTGGCCAGGCTAGTCTCGAACTCCTTACCTCAAGTGATCCGCTCACGTTGGACTCCCAAAGTGCTGAGATTAGATTACAGGTGTGAGTCACCATGCCTGGCCCTTTGAGCGATGTTTGAAAGAAGAGTATATATGTGAAACTCTATTTGAAGACTTTAATTTCTGAGGATGACTTTCAGTTGCTTTCACTTGACTGTTTCATTAGATATAAAACTCTTAGGACACCCAGAAAGATGGAGTGGATGTACTTTTCCCTGTTCTTCATGTCAGAAAACCAAAATCAAACAAACAAAACCTAAAATATCAAGAGACAGAATACTTTAATGAAGTATTTTTAAAAATAAAAATT